GCTTTTTAAACGTAGTACCCATTCAGCTTCGCATGAAGACAACGCTCACATTTCTACTTCGTTTTTTTTTTTTGCCTTTCCTGAACTTCTATGTGCTGAGCGCTTCAATAAGGTACAATCATATTTTAAAAACTTTGAGATTAACGGTAATGAGGCCCCTCAATGTCTCAAATGGTCACTAATTCTCTTGTGAAGAACAGTTAGCAAAAATGGGTCAAATGTATCAACTTCTCATGCAATCAGTGGCTAGGACTAGTGCAAAGAACAAGTTTCCTTCGTTCCTCTCTAAAGATATTCTCTTTCCTTCCTGTCAAATGAGGTCTTATTGGTAAAACATCACTCTTCCTAGAAGCACCCTCGAAAGCAAGGAACAATTAAAGTAACGTAAACAAAGCATAGAATTAGTTTTTGATTCCTTTTGTTCACTTCCATATTTGCACTGCAATATTTCAACAGATTCGGCAAACTCGTTCCCTTCTTAAAACAAGGCTTTTCACTGAATTACTTGACTCTTTAGAAACCACAGCTAATATACCCTATGATAATCAATGATAAAATGCATAACCCTCTTAGTTTTAGTATGGAAAACAATCTTAACCTCCGCTTCTGGTGGACGTCGATCTCTGAGTAGATGCTCATCGGTAACTGTTTCACCGTTCGTTAACACCCACAGCGCTGTTGATGTAACATGCTCGACATCTTCCGCGTCTTAAAGAGTAACGATCATTGCAAACAGTATGGAAATTTTGGAAACTGCGCCGTCTACCTCTCTAGCGCTTGCACAAGCGAACACAACAACACAAATCCCACTGAAAACAAACTTTTGGGCAGAGTTCTTTGCTCGTCGACGTCTCGATCAGCCGTTCGAGCTGTGAGTCGCATCATTTGCTCATCGCAGCTAAGGTCGCATGGAGTTCTACCGCGGTCATCAAGAACATCAACCGTAGTCCTACACGCGCGCACCAAAACCCTACAAGTCTAATATAAAGGGCGAAAGAAAAATACCACAAAAAAACATACCTTGCTGAAGCTACAT